ATAGTCAATGAAATACCTCTATAAAAGACCGGGAGGATTTTTGAAAAAGTCAGCGAGTCCGTTGCAAAGAAATATAGCCAGTGGAAGAGAGCCAGCTCAGTTATCTTACACAGAAGAAAACAAATTCTATGTGTATAGTCCAGTAAAATATTAGAAACTTGGTCGCAACTACGCTCAGAGCGAGCGATCTCGCGTGATATAAAAAAAAAAAAATAATCTCTACAAATAAATTTGTAACTTACCGTCCTTACGTTAACTTCACATTTTCCCTCGAGGCTCTACTTCTCGGCCAAGCATCCCTAATTTTGGACAATATCTCAGCCGTGGGCATTATCAGCCGATTTACCAGCCGCCCGAAGGGGTTTATTTAGTAATTAGTTGTATTTCAAAACAAGTCAAATGTCAGAGCCGTCGGAAAAAATCTTCAAACGATTACGACTATATGAAATCGGCTGTCCAAGGATATGGTCATTGTTTAAAACATTTATACCACGAAAATACAGTATATGGGATCTTTTTTTTTTATCAGATTAAAGTGAAGGTCTTAAGTACTCCAGAAAATATCGGTGGCTAAAAGTAGTGTCGTGCCATCATGAATAAAACTATTTGAAGTACTGTAACCATGGTTACAAAACAGGAAACGTTGAATAAGAGATGAACAGAAGCGCTTTAGTTTTTCTTCCTAATCGGTCGTTCAAATTGCTGATATTCATCAGCTCATGGTTTTGGTCTTTTATGCTTTTGATAGTCCAGTAGAGGGTTTTTGAAAAATGCCAGAAAGTCCAAAAAAATGCCAAAAAGCCACAAATGATTAGATGTGGATGATAATTGTTGGAACACAAACGCAGTAGAAACTAGTGTCAAGTTTGACAATAGAAAACAGTAATATTTCTAGTTTAATATCGTGTTTGCTTAATTTTAAAATTATTTCCTTTCATAATTGGTGGCTTATGAAGTTCGTTTAATGCTGGTTTCGAGGGAACGTCGCCAGAAAAATCGAACACGAACACAGAAAAAAGAATTAAATGGCGAATCATAAACACTAGTGCGAAAAAAACATAGTGGGGAAATAGTTTCTGAAAAAAAATTAGAGATTCCCATTGACAGCTTCAAGGAAAAGCTTGAACTGTGTCGCTATGATTGAAAACTATGAATTGATCGTGACCACATTGATAAAAAAACTGGTCTCCATAATAGCTGAAATACCTTTTCCCTCTCAAATTCAGTGCCAGGTAGGTCTT